CCTTCTCGTCTCTCACCTTCTCTTCCTCTCACCTTCTCGTCCTCTCACCTTCTCTTCCTCTCACCTTCTCGTCCTCTCACCTTCTCGTCCTCTCACCTTCTCGTCCTCTCACCTTCTCGTCCTCTCACCTTCTCGTCCTCTCACCTTCTCGTCCTCTCACCTTCTCGTCCTCTCACCTTCTCGTCCTCTCACCTTCTCGTCCTCTCACCTTCTCGTCCTCTCACCTTCTCGTCCTCTCACCTTCTCGTCCTCTCACCTTCTCGTCCTCTCACCTTCTCGTCCTCTCACCTTCTCGTCCTCTCACCTTCTCGCCTCTCACCTTCTCGTCCTCTCACCTTCTCGTCCTCTCACCTTCTCGTCCTCTCACCTTCTCGTCCTCTCACCTTCTCGTCCTCTCACCTTCTCGTCCTCTCACCTTCTCGTCCTCTCACCTTCTCGTCCTCTCACCTTCTCGTCCTCTCACCTTCTCGTCCTCTCACCTTCTCGTCCTCTCACCTTCTCGTCCTCTCACCTTCTCGTCCTCTCACCTTCTCGTCCTCTCACTCCCCCGTCCTCTCACCCTCTTGTCTTCTCGCCCCTTCGTCCTCATTCCACTTCTTCCTTACATGAATCATCTCAGGCCCAACTTCCGTATCTCATTTACTCCTTGACTTTCTTCTCCCCGCAATATCCCTCCCATCCCAACCAGGCACAGCCTCTAGTGAAGGAGGCACGGACATGGGACGCGAGTGAGTGCTACCATACCGTAGAGGGATTTAAGGCTCTGCTGCAGGAGCCCATGCGCTCTATTCTGCTGCATTACAGGCCATGTATGCACCAGTTATTCATGCTCCTGTGGTGCTGTCACACAACCACTTACACGCCATGCCTTGTCCTTTTCATCTTGCCGTCCTTCTCATCCGGCCGTCCTTCTCATCCGGCCGTCCTTCTCATCCGGCCGTCCTTGGACATGGAGAATGGTGGATGGTGGATGGGGGATGGTGGATGGTGGATGGTGGATGGTGGATGGTGGATGGTGGATGGTGGATGGTGGATGGTGGATGGTGGATGGTGGATGGTGGATGGTGGATGGTGGATGGTGGATGGTGGATGGTGGATGGTGGATGGTGGATGGTGGATGGTGGATGGTGGATGGTGGATGGTGGATGGTGGATGGTGGATGGTGGATGGTGGATGGTGGATGGTGGATGGTGGATGGTGGATGGTGGATGGTGGATGGTGGATGGTGGATGGTGGATGGTGGATGGTGGATGGTGGATGGTGGATGGTGGATGGTGGATGGTGGATGGTGGATGGTGGATGGTGGATGGTGGATGGTGGATGGTGGATGGTGGATGGTGGATGGTGGATGGTGGATGGTGGATGGTGGATGGTGGATGGTGGATGGTGGATGGTGGATGGTGGATGGTGGATGGTGGATGGTGGATGGTGGATGGTGGGACTCTGTGTGGGCGACTTGGTTCTAGGACATCGTGCACATGAGGTGGTGGGACTGGGGCAGCAGAAGGTAGAATCTTTGGGGGGGCAAAAGTACCCATGTCATAGTGTCTATTGTCAAAATGACAAAATGACAAAATGACAAAATGACAAAATGACAAAAGTTTACTAAGGACATGGAGGATGTGGAGGATGTGGATAAAGTGGTATGGCCCATACAGGTCTCGAACCTGTGACCTTCGCGTTATTAGCACGACGCTCTAACCAGCTGAGCTAATAGGCCGACGATACGGAATGGAAATTAAAATATTTACCAAATATTTTAACTACCATCTGCGCTTTCTTGAAGCTCACTGTCATGCATTCCACCTCCAACCTGTCCACGGCTCGCGAGTATTCAGGAACGAACCAATCAGAGTGACCTGATAGGCCGACACTCCCGAGCCAGGGGCGACTTAGAAGGACGTGGCATACTCGACAGACGTGTGCTCTCTGACCTTATCGTCTCACGTTAGACGACTTCTCTTCTGACACGCGCTCATGGCGGACGAGGACTATGGCGGTGGCGATGATTTCGGCGAGGATTACGGAGGGTAGGTCCAGAATACTAGAGTAGATTCTTCGTCTTTCGCGAATGGACAGTTTCTTGAGGGTTTAGCTCCTCTGTGAAGGTCTAGGGTTTGCGCAATTGCAGGGTCCTCCGTGATTTTTGAGTTGACTCACCCCACCTGTATTCCATCTACGATTCCAAATCACCTTCGGTGTAGCTCCTCTGTGAACGTCTAGGGTTTGCGCATTTGGCCAAAGGGCAAGCCTTTCATCCCTTCGTTTGGTCTAGGGATAGCTGGAGGTTCATTTGGTTCCTCCTTTGGCCAGACCCTCGTTTCCCTTTGCCTGCTGACGTGGCCTGGCCTGTTGTGACGTGGCAGGGACTATGAGGAGCCCGAGGTGGCCGAACCGGAGGTACGCAGCGGTTCTCTTGTTATCCGTTCTTCACTCGCTATTTCAAAACCTCCCGATGGCATCCTTTCCCTCGTCCCGTTCGTCCCGTTCGTCCCGTTCGTCCCGTTCGTCCCGTTCGTCTCGTTCGGCACGTGTACTAGTTTCCCGTTCCTTCTTGTGTGGCGTTGTAACGAGGTCACTTTGAGTCGACTCAAGAGGTACGCAGCCTCCCGATGCCATCCTTTTTCTCCTCCCGTTCGCCACATGCGGTTTCCCGCTCCCTCCTGCCGTCGTCCGCGCCGTTCTGATTATGCTCACGTTGTGCAAGTTTACCCCGCCTAGCAACGACCCTCCGAATAACCACCTAGATTACTCACCTTGTCTAACCACCTCCGAATTACTCTCAGGAGGAGGCTGAGAGCAGGAGGGCCCGGCCCGGACATTATCTTACGCGCTCATGGCCCTTACGCGCTTAATACTCTCCGGACCTTGTGTTTTCCCCACTAATGATTCTCAGGAGGAGGCTGGGGAGGAAGGGGCGGAGGAGCAGGAGGGGGAGGCGGATCGCGACATGATCGAGATCCGGGACGACGACGGAGCGGGAGGGGGGAAGAAGTCGGATAAGCCAAGGAAGACGACAAGATACATGACAAAATACGAGCGAGCTAGAGTGCTGGGTGCCAGGGCGCTCCAGATCAGGTGAGGGCTTGATGGTTCCGGTCTCTGTTGTTGTGCACGGGCAACGGAGAGAGGGGGGAGCGGGGGGAAGAAGTCTGATAAGCCAAGGAAGAGGACCCGATACATGAGGGGGGAAGAAGTCGAAGTACGAGCGAGCCAGGGTGCTGGGTGCCTGCCAGGGCGCTGCAAATCAGGTGAGTGCCTGCGGGTTCAGTCGGATAAGCCAAGGAAGCCAGATAAGCCAAGGAGGCCAGATAAGCCAAGGAAGCCAGATAAGCCAAGGAAGACGACAAGATACATGACGAAATACGAGAGAGCCGGGGTGCTGGGGGCTCGAGCCTTGCAAATCAGGTGAGAGCCATTAGTTTGTGTCTGTCACTTGCACGAGCGTTGCGGAGGGGAAGGGCGAGCGAGGGATCTGCAAATTCGATGGGTGATGGTCAAATTTGACGTCTCAAATTAGGTCTCAGTCTTTTTGCAAAAAATCAACTGAGGGGTTGGGTCGGGGAGGGGGGGGGGGAGGGGGGGAGGGGGGGCGTTTTTCATCTTGTTTTCACCTTGTTTAGGCAATGCTTCAATCTGGTGCTTTACTTTGGTCTCGCGTGATTTTCCCTGCTGCAGCCCCATGTGGGGCATTTGGTTCCATTTGGGCACTTGGCATTTTTCTGTTCATCTCTTGCAACCCCCCCTTTCCACCTCCCTTCCCTCTCTGTTTCCTTTCTCCGTTTCCCCCGTCCCTCTCGTGTCAGCATGAACGCGCCTGTGATGGTCGAGCTGCATGGAGAGACGGACCCTCTCGAGGTGGGCCTTACTGCTCGCATCAATAATGCTGCTGGCGTTACATGTCACTCCCAATCCCCCCCCCACCTGCCCTTCGTCCCCCCTGCCCTTCGTCCCCCTCGTGTCAGCATGAATGCGCCTGTGATGGTTGAGCTGCATGGAGAAACAGACCCTCTCGAGGTATGCTTATTTCCCACATCAATAGTGGTTGCGAGCAGTTATTGTGCTGTTTGGGTGACATGCCTTTTCCAGCCTTTGCAATCGTCACCTACCCGTGCCATGCCACAATCACCCCTGACGGCGCCGCCAACACAACCCGCACCACTCACAACGCCTGCTGCTCGCACCGCACTGATCACAATCCGCAATCACAGTATTCGAATGCTAACATCTGATTCAGTGAGTGCTTTCAGAGTGCGTCATGCTAACGTCTGCTTCAAAGGGAACATAGCGCCGGTCCATCCATACAGGCCTCTTGTGTCTCCCTCACCCCGATCGTCCCGGCCCCTGCAGATTGCCATGCGTGAGCTTCGAGAGAAGAAGATTCCTTTCACCATTCGGAGATACCTGCCTGATGGAAGGTGAGAGGGGATCCGGGGAAAGGGGGGTGCTGTACACGCATGATAAGGTGAACTTCGAGAGGAAAAAAAATATTTTGACCATTCAGAGATACCTGCCTGATGGAAGGTGTGTGTGGTTCCGGTGGAAAAGAGGTCGACGTTACTGAGTGTGTAGATGTGTATGGATGTAGGCCGACTTGCCGAGTGTGTCATCACCATCACTGATGTGCTCATATGGGCTGTAGGCATGGCTACGCCATCTCGTTCCATTTTGGTTGCTCTCACCATCAGTTTCATTCATCATAGCTTGCCTGCTTCATCGGTTTTCCTCTCCCGTGCCTGCGTTTCAGCTACGAGGATTGGGGGGTGGATGAGTTGATCATTGAGGACACGTGGCGAAGACAAGTGGGAGCCACCTGAGCTGGCACTAAGAGGTCTGGGTGTACTATCTGCTTACGTCTTGGCTAATTGAGCAAAATGTTTGGGGACATGTACAGTCTATTTTGGGTTTACTGTAGCTACAATATTATGGGAACTACTCTTCCAATATTGTATCCACTCTTGCAAGTTCCACAGATAAGCCTGCCAGTTACAAAACGAAGTAACAAGTGTTCCACTTTTTTGTCATGCGGATAACTGTACCACAAAGCATCTGCTTATGAATTCTGGAACAAGATTATACACAGACTACCGTCACATAAGCATACAACACTTCCCATCGCCTCAGTGCCTTGAACCTGCGTTAGGAGTGCATCTGGAAACAGCAACTCCGGCAGTAGGGGACATTCCCAAGAAAGGCAAGACAAACAGGCAATCCAGCAGTCGTGTCACTCATGATTGTCTGCCGGCTCCCTAACCCAGCGCCAGGCCTCCTCTTCAGCTTCTCCTCAGCGTTGCTCACTCCCGCTTCCAGCTCTGTCACCGCAAACCCCTTCGCCCTCAGGTGTCTAGAGTGCTTCTGCTCCTTCTCACCCCTCTCCTCCACCAGGCTGGTCGGGTCCAGATTCCGCCAAGACTGGCCAGGAACGGACGACAAGCTAATTCCCAGCAGTCGTGTCACTAGTGATTGTCTGCCGGCTCCCTAATCCAGATCCACTCCTCCTCTTCAGCTTCTCCTCAGCGTCTCTCACTCCCGCTTCCAGCTCTGTCACTACAAACCCCTTTGCCCTCAGGTGTGTGGAGTGCTTCTGCTCCTTCTCCCCCCTCCCCTCCATCAGGCTTGTAGGGCTGGCTCCTGGCGTTGGGAATGCCGCCTCAGCTGCTGCACGTGTCAGGTCGTCAGTGGTGGCTGGAGAGCGATCCTCATTGGGCGTCATGTTGGGGTACTTAGGGTGACCTGGGGGAGGTAAAGGGCGATGGAAATGTGACGAGGAGCAATTAAAGGGTATTGACAGCACGACTTATTAGTGAACGGGAGAGCGAGCGAAGGAGGGGGGGAAGCACGGGAGGGCGAGGAGGGGAGGTGATGACAGAAAAAGATCCCTCTGTACCTGCATCAGTTGTCTCCCCAATTCCAACTCCATAAAATCGACTCCCCAAAATCACCTGTGCAAAATAGTTATATAGGCAAAAAAAGAAAGAGTATAAAATACTAACAAGTGCCACAAGCGTCTGCGCAAGTGGGATCATGCTGAGCCAACAGAGACGTCTTAAAAACTGCAACTGCCGAATGGTACTTAGCACCAATGCTCCGTGCGATCATACAAGAAGCGTCTGCAGCTTGAGTATCGCTCTGAAACCTAACCCACCTTACGACTTCGCTGCAGAACCGGAAACGCGAGGCGGTTTGTAGACAGCATCATCCCCCTTCGACGATAACCTGCTGCTATAGGTAGGAAGTGAAGTGATAAATTGCGCTAAACAAGCATGAGAGTTCAGCTTCGACGAAAGAAAAGCCTCGTTTGTTGAATTCGACTTTCAAAAGATCCTTCAGATGCTGAAGATTCCTAACACGCCTGACTGGCTGTAACTGTCACGAAATCGGAAAAATCCGCCACCATTCTTCCTGGAACCGGCAGCGCAGCTTGAAGCCATGTCCAGGGTCTGCGTGCAGGCAGGCGCCGTGTTGGCTTAGTGAAGCAACGCGCTTTGACGTGTCGTGCTTGCTTGCTTGGATCACGCAACTCCCACCTAGCCGCCATGGCATGGCACTCACACCATGCATGCTGCCCGTGTGTTTGCTCGAGGACTCGAATGGATTGGGATGGGAATGGATTCAGCTGGGCGCCTGGGGATCTGTTTTTTACGAGGAGGTCGCGAAGGCGACGTCAGGTTACTCCTCCTCGCCAGCCTTGAGCTCAAACTGAAGAAGGGGTGCTGCATCTCCAGTCAAGGGTTGTCTGACAGCTCTTCTTTATGGGAGCCTCGCTGTTACCACTTCTAATCACTGTATTGTAAAGCGATCTACATCCAGCATATGGCAAGGCAATTCTATTTCCAAGCCAAGCCAGGCCTGGTCCTGCCCGCCACATTTTCGTGCAAGCTTCAACTCCTCGAGCCATTTGTCGGCAGCCACATGTCAGGTCGGGACTTGTTGATTGACATCACTCACTCCAAGGCGGGAAAGTTGGACAACCTGAACTCCATTTCCCTCGATTTTTGGGATTTCTGCAGCTGACGAAGGCTTGTGCGACCAAAGTCGTTCGCCGCACTGCCTGGATGCATCTCAGCGATTCGCGACAGTCGTTGGCGACGTTTTCAAGTCCGTTCGTCGTCGCCGAGGAGTTCCCTGTGGTCGCCTGTGTGCTCCACCCCACTTCCGTCAACCAGAGGAGCAGGGAGCGAGGTGAGGTGAAGTGTCCAAGTTTGGTTGGCTTTTGCTGGTTCCGTGCGGCTCAATTCGGTCCTGTCTAAGCTTGACAGGGTTGAGCGAGTCACAAAAGAGTGCATTGCGGTTTTCTTTATCAAGCCACCAACAAGCCAGCACTCCTTAGGAGGCTCTTCAGGCTTTCCAGATGGTTGCCAGAGACAACACCACAGGGCATAAATAACCTCCCCTCCGTCAGATTCACTTTCCTACTTCTCCCGCGTGTCAGGGAACTGTTCTGTTGCTAGCCAGCATAGCACAGCTGAGGGCAGTCCGAGGTAGTAGCAGGAGACCGAATTCTGCAAACCAGTTCGACTTGAGCTGGTAGGGTTTCGCTTATTCGTGCGTTCGACTCTGTGCAGCTAGCTTCATCAGGCGGTTCTTGCATAGCAAGAGTTGGCAGTTCCGGCCTTTGCACGCCTTACGGGAATTACCCCACGTCACCATGGGTCGTCACGCGTTATATCTAGCGTTATGCGTCGTCGCTTGGTGTGTCCAGAGCGCATCGGCTCGCTTCGTCGTCGAGTCGCATAGCCTGATGATTAACTCGCCGGATAAGATCCGTGGCGAGTACCTGAGCGCCATCGCGAATTTCGGCATCCCGCAGTACGGCGGCTCGCTGCAGGGCACGGTGGTGTACCCGTCGCGCTCGTCCGACCTGTGCAAGCCGTACAAGGGCAAGGACCTCGCGACCAAGGCCGGCGGCATGCCGAATATTGTTCTGGTTGACCGCGGGGGTATGTGGTCGTATTGATAGAAGTAGGCACGCTATCTTCGACGCTTAGAGGCTGATTCATCATATCCATAATTTGTTCGTTGTGGTCTCGTTTAGGGGACTCGTTCCATAATTTTCGCTTTCTTCCTGATGCTGGCTTGAGAGAATAATCGAATTTTGCTTGCTGATAACTCGTCCAGAGATTTAGAGATCGTATTTCGTAAATCCGTCCTGTGTAAACTACTTTTCTATTTTTTCCTCGACAGTTCAGCAGTTTTTTTTTCATCTCCAATTTCCCCCCTTCATAAGCCAGACTGCTACTTCACCGACAAGGAACAACACGCGCAGGAAACCGGTGCGCCCGCCGCCGTGATCGTCACGGATGACAAGGGCGAGAACCTCCTCACCATGGACAAGCCCGAGGACATAAGGTCAATGTTCACACCCGATTTGCTCCCCATGCCCCGACATCAGGCTGCTACTTCACGGACAAGGTTTTTAACGCGCAGGAGGCGGGAGCGTCCGCCGTGATTGTCGCGGACGACAAGGACGAGAATCTCCTCACCATGGACACTCCCGAGGACGACCCCGACGCGGCTCGCATCGTCGAGAAAATCACGATTCCGTCGGCTCTTATCCAGAAGTCCACCGCAGATTTGATTAAGAAGGGACTTAAGAAGGACGTGGTTATGGTGTCGCTGGACTGGCGGGAAGCGCTGCCGCACCCCGACGAGCGCGTGGAGTACGAGTTCTGGACCAACAGCAACGACGAGTGCGGGCCGAAATGCGACTCTCAGGCGGAGTTTTTGGACGCGTTTAAGGGCTACGCGATAATGTTAGAGCAGGGCGGGTACACGCTGTTCACGCCGCACTACATCACGTGGTACTGCCCCGAGGCGTACCTCGAGAGCCGGCAGTGCAAGACGCAGTGTATCAACAACGGGCGGTACTGCGCGCCGGACCCGGAGGAGGACTTCGACGTGGGGTACGACGGGAAGGACGTGGTGGCGGAGAACCTGCGGCAGCTGTGCGTGCACCGCGTGGCGAACGAGACGCACGGGTCGTGGCTGTGGTGGGACTATGTGACCGACTTCAAGAGGCGCTGCCGCATGGCGGACAAGACGTACGGGCCGGAGTGCGCCGAGAGCATCATCACTGCGCTAGGTATGTCTCCCCGCGCGCAATCTTTGCCGTTATGTCCGTGCGTGCACTTTTATCCCTGCATCTTTCGATACAAGAAACGGTGCCGCGTGGAAGATTTGGAGTGCGCGGAGAGAATCAGCATGGCGCTAGGTATGTGTCCGTGTGTGCGTCCCGTTTGTCCATGCGTGGACTTGTATGCCGGCATCCGTTCTTACAACGGTGCCGCGTGTGAAATCCGGAGTGCACGGAGAGCATTATCGCTTGGTATGTGAGTACATGCATTTGGGTTCGGCCTACTGTCAACGATTTGAGACGGCTTCAAACGCGTTTAATCTGACGGATTCCACGGAAGAGCGCATTCCCGCGCCTGGAGACGTCCGTGCGTGCGTACGCTCGAATTTGCTGTCCGTACATGTGCGTGTTTCGTTTCCGTGTCTGTTCTGGCTTGTCTATTGCCTCCGTTGCGTGCGTCCTTAAACCTAGGTCCCGTAGCGTTTGTAAGGCGCTTCGAGTATTTCCTAGAGGTGTCAACCTTTGTATCCCTCGTTCGCTATGGCGATAGGAACGAGAGGACAGAACACAGAACACAGAACACAGAACACGGAGCAACGTGGGGCCTCATGGCTGGGCTGTGCTATCCTTGTGTTCCGTTGTTTTATGCCTGTCTACGACCGTGTGATGGGCGTCTCCCACTGTGTGCAGGCATCGACGTCAAGAAGGTGCGCGACTGCATGGGCGAGACTAGAAAACGTCTCGTTGTGAGGAATGATTTCCACCGCTCCCCGTCCCCTGTCCGCGTCCCCGCTCCCCGTCCCCTGTCCCCGTCCCCTGTCCCCGTCCCCCTGCGCAGGCATCGACGTGAAGAAGGTGCGCGACTGCATGGGCGACCCCACCAAGGACGAGGACAACCCCGTGCTCAAGTCGGAGCAGGAGGCGCAGGTGAGACGACGAGGGGGTTGGGCTGGGACGGGGATCGGGAGGGGGACTGACGTATTATGGTGTTATTGCAATATCGAGTCGACTGCATGAGATATCTAAGGACGAGGACAACCCGGTGCTGAAGGCGGAGCAGGAGGCGCAGGTGAGAGAAGAGGGGGGAGTGTGTGTGGGGGGGGGGGAGAGGGTGTGTGACGCGTTAGCATGTTAAGGTAGGGTCGACATCCCACCAAGGATGAGGACAACCCCGTGCTCAAGGCGGAGCAGGAGGCGCAGGTGAGACAACGAGGGGGTGGGGGGGGGGTGGGGGGGGTGGGGTTAAGGTGTTGACATAGTTTTTATTCGAGGGAATTACCATCTAACCGAGGACGAGGACAGCCCCCTGCTGAAGGCGAAGCTGAGGCCCAGGTGTGGCAGAAAGGGATTCATGGTGGTGGGAGAAGGGGAGACGTAAGGTGCTAGTCTAGTTTTGAGCTGACCCTGAAACTGCCGCCTCTGATGACCTGTTCCTGGCGTGGTTGCGTGGTGGATAATGGATATCTTGGATTGGTCTGAGCAGATTGGGACGGGCGACCGTGGTGACGTCACCATTCTGCCCACTGTGATCATCAACCAAAAACAGTACCGAGGTGAGAGGGAGGGGGGGGGGGGGGGGGGGGGGGGGAGGGGAGGGAAGGGGAGCGGGAGGCAGAATGCGAGAGAGGGGGGGGGAGGAGGGGGCATATTACAGGCTGGAACAGGAGAGCATGGTGACGTCACCATTTTGCCCGCGGAGGGAGACGATGTGCAAGTGCTGGCGTTTTTTATCAACAACAAGCAGTACTGAGGTGGGTGGGGGGGGGGGGAGGGGGAGGAGAGAGGAGAATGGGCAGATGCAGTTGGGTTACCCCGGGGGAGTCACCGGAAACCCTATCGATAACACAGTGTCGAAAGAGGGGGAAATGGTGGGAAGCGGAGAGGGAAGATGGTGGGATTAGGGAGAAACCAATGAGGGGGAAAAGGATTTTACAGGGGGAGGGGGAGGAGGAGGAGGAGGAGGAGGAGGAGGGGGAGAAGGACGGCTCGTGGATTTCGTTGTGTGTATCCATCCCTAATTTTGGCTCTTTTTTTTCCCCTCATCTCGCGTTCTGCAATCTTGCACCACTACCCTCTGCACTTCCACACTTATCCCATCTAATCCATCTGTACCGTTTCTACTCCTCTCTACTCTACCTCACTCCCCCTCAGGCAAGCTGGACTCTAAGGCCGTGCTCAAGGCTGTTTGCTCGGGCTTTAAGGAAACCACCGACCCTCCTGTGTGCCTTGGAGCAGGTAGGGGGGGGATGCCAACATATGGTTTGGGATGTCTTTTGAATCAACTCATAAGTCATCTCGGGCTTCAAGGAAACCACTGACCCTCCTGTGTGCCTTGGAGCAGGTAGGGGATGCCAACATAAGGTTTGGGATGCTTCTTGGGGATGCAGGATAACGTCTTCTGTAGTGGTCGATCTTGGAGCTGATAGAAAAGACAAAACAATCACAGTTTTGCAGATGCCTACGACCGTCTTCTGCTCCTTTTTTTTAAAATAAGATGTTGTCCAGACTCCAGTATAGTGGTACATGTGGGCACCGATACTTCACCATCTTCGTCAACACCCCCCACCCCCCCCCCCCCCCCAACCTCCTCCCCCTTCCCCCCGTCACCATCCGTTTCCGTTGTTTATACCGTTGTCTGTGCAGATGTGCAGACGAACGAGTGCTTGGCGAATAACGGTGGCTGCTGGAAGGGCTACAACCTGACTGCATGCAAGGTACTGTACAGGGCAGAACAGTGCCTATAGCGCTTTTCCGCTCTAAAAATAAGACTTGAAGGTATCCTTTGAAGCCTTCCCACGTGCAAGGTAATGGAATCTGGAAGGGGGACATGCCGTGAACACCAAGACACTGCCTTTTGAGTCGACTCAAAAGTCATCTGGGAAGGGGTCATGCCGTGAACACCAAGACACTGCTCAGCAGGAACCTCACAGCAACTCCTCTTTCCCCTACCCGCCTCTCGCCCTCCATCCCACCAGGACACGTTTCGAGGGCGGGTGTGTGAGTGCCCCAAGGACCCCCAGACTGGCGTGTACCTGTCAGGGGACGGCTACACCAAGTGCGAACGTGAGTGACTTTAGACGGCCCGCATTGTAATAGAGTGTACCTGTCGGGGGACGGCTACACCAAGTGCGAACGTGAGTGACTTTAGACGGCCCGCATTGTAATAGAGTGTACCTGTCGGGGGACGGCTACACCAAGTGCGAACGTGAGTGACTTTAGACGGCCCGCATTATATTAGAGTGTACCTGTCGGGGGATGGCTACACCAAGTGCGAACGTGAGTGGGGTTCAGGGGCTGCAGAGTGTGAGCTCGATTTATTGTGTGAGCTCGATTTATTGTGTGAGCATTAATTGTCCCTAACGGCTCGGAGTAGTCATGTGTACCTGTCGGGGGTTGGCTACACCGAGTGCGAACGTGGGTGCATTGCACGGATTCTGTCGGGGCTGTATGGGGTGTACCTGTTAATTTATGGGGTGTACCTGTTATGTTATGGGGTGTACCTGTTATGGTATGGGGTGTACCTGTTATGGTATGGGGTGTACCTGTTATGGTATGGGGTGTAGCTGTTATGGTATGGGGTGTACCTGTTATGGTGTGGAATGGTCATCATCACACCAAGTGTGATTGTGTATACACTCTCCACGTGCTCTCACACGCTGCTCGCAGGAACCTCTTCTTTAATCTCCCCCCCCCCCCCCCCCCCCCTCTGTGCCCCCCCATTCATGTGTCTCGCCCCCCCATGGTGTTCATCTCATACAGCCACGGGGGTGGGTCGCTGCCTCGTGAACAACGGGGGCTGCTGGCAGGGAGCTGGCGACGGCCAAACCTTCACTGCCTGCCAGGTACAGGCCGAACCTTCACAACCCTACGCTTTGACGTTCCATCACACTGTTGCTCTGCCCTCGCCAGACTGGTCTTCTCCCCTCCCCCACCCTTCCCCCCCTTCCCCCTCCATCCCCTTCCCCCCTCCTTCCCCTTCCCCTTCCCTCCTTCCCTCCCCCCCCCACTCCTCCTCGACTGCCCTCCCTCTTCACGTGTGAAGACAAATACCAGTGTGCGGAGCACAGCACCCGTCCGCACTTCCACCTCCCTTCACCACCCCCCCCACCCCTCCTCTTCCCTCGCCTCCATCCCCCATTTAAACCTAGCAGGACAGCTCATCGGCTCAATGCCAGTGCCGGCCTGGCTTCAGGGGCGACGGATTCAAGTGCGAGGACATCGACAGGGGCTTGGCGCACAGCACTCCCTTCACTTCCCTCTCACCACCACCTGCCATTTTCAAACCCCTCCCACACCTCTTCCCCTAGCAGGACAGCTCGTCGACTCAATGCCAGTGCCCCCCGGGCTTCAGGGGCGATGGGTTCAAGTGTGAGGACATCGACGAGTGCTCGGAGCACAGCGCGTGCAGCTGCGTGGACTGCCACTGCAAGAACACGTTCGGGTCGTACGAGTGCTCCTGCTACAACGGGCTGGTGTATCTCAAGGACTCAGACACGTGCATCAGTGAGTGCTTTGCTGGGTTGCTATGTGAATATAAGGTGTGTCAACTGCCACTGTAAGAACACGTTTGGGTTGTACGAGTGCTCCTGCTACAACGGGCTGGTGCACTTGAAAGACTCACACGTGCATCAGTGAGTGTTTTGCTGGGTTGCTTTGTGAACGTGGTGCGTTGAACGTTTGGGGTGTGTTGAACGTTTGGGGTGCATTGAACGTTTGGGGTGCATTGAACGTTCGTTTGGGGTGCATTGAACGTTTGGGTTATTCCTATGTGAATGTTATTTGCTCCGGCGACAATGGATCCGTGTATCCCACGGGACATGGTGACTCACATGCATCAGTGATTGCTCTGATTCACCTAGTTGTGTCTCACGGGCGCAGTGAGCATGGCTCAGGGCGCAGTGAGCATGGCTCAGTGTGCAAGAAGGGAGGGTGGCACGCCCCCTCACCGACTATGGGGAATGGTTGTATTTTGAGTCGACTCAAAATACAACTGGGTGGCACGCCCCCTTAGCGACTACCTATGTGGAATGGTGACAGGGCTTCAATCACCCATACCCGCTCAACTTCTCTGCTTGCTCCTTTTTCGTGTCTCTCCTTTCCCCACCACCCCTCCCCCCTTTCTTGTTCTGCTCCTCCTTCAGGCAAGGAGGGTGGCACGCCCCCTACGCGCCTGTGGGGCATGGTGGCCGGCATTGTCATGGGCTCACTCATTGTTGTAGCGATCGTGGCTTATATCGTGTACAAGTACCGGCTCAGGGTGAGTGGCTTGTCTTGTTTGAGATGTCTCAGGGCTTACTCGCCGTTGCAGCGATCGTGGCTAATATTGTGTACAAGTACCGGCTCAGGGTGAGTGGAGTGCCGTTTTTGAGACGTCTCAGGGCTTACTCGCCGTTGTAGCGATCGTGGCTTATATTGTGTACAAGTACCGGCTCAGGGTGAGTGGATTTTGCTGTTGAGCTTCTGTTGACTGTGCTGGGCTGTCCTGTGCTGTTCCTGCACCGCACACAGGATGACAGCATACCAACACCCAGAGTACAACATACCCCCACGCCCTGCAGCATGGCCACACACTCTCCCATCAGTGCAAATACAGGGCTTATGCACTTCGCCCCTCCCTCCCCCACTATGTCCGTCCCTCTCGCCCCTCCCCCCTTTCCCAGACCTACATGGATTCTGAGACCCGCGCCATCATGGCAGGGTACATGCGTCTGGACAGGTGGAGCTGATGGGTGTATTCGTCTCCTTCCCTTCTAATCCTCTCCTTCCCATTCCCTCTGTTCCGCGCAACCACCCCCCACTCATACATGGACTCGGAGATCCGGGCGATCATGGCGCAGTACATGCCTCTCGACAGGTGGAAGAGACGAGCCCTCTGCATTCCCCTCCTTCAATTCCCCACCGTGCGTTCCTCCCCCACCCCCCTTTGCCCGTCTCCCCCCACCAGTCATACATGGACTCGGAGATCCGGGCGATCATGGCGCAGTACATGCCTCTTGACAGCCAGAACGACCAGCAGGTGGCGCGGCAGCCAATGCTCAACAATGATGATGAATTCTCCGCGTAACATGTTCGCCTTATGTTACAAGTTTCGGGGTAACATGTACACCGCTTAACTAGTTTTGCATCATGAGAAGGGTTGGGGGTTTACTCCAGAATGGCTGCTGTTGAGTGAAGGATTTAGGCAGCTCCTGCTGAGGTGGTTGTTGCCACATTAGTTTTTCTCCTGGTGTGTACTGTGCAGGAAATGTAGATACACCATCATAGGTGCAATGTGCTGATTGCATACACTAGAAAAGGATTCACCCTTGCAGCCACATGAGAGATTTTTTGTGTCCACCACCCATGAATTGATGTGAGATGCATGTACGAGATTTTAATATTTCCACCCTGCTGGGGTTAGATTAGGACGTCCAATTTACACTCGAGAATCGGGTTACACTACAACGCAGACAATTGGTCAAATGTCTGACAAATAACGTGGCAGGCATCTGACACGGCGTTGTTGCATTCAAAGAGCGAGATTCCTAACTCGCGTCGCGACTCGCGTCTTGGAACCAGCTCATGAGCACCGTTTCTTAGACCGGCGCGGAACATTCGAGAAGAGTGCATGCCTGTGACACGTGTGCATGACTGATTGCCAGGGCATGTTTTCAGTGCTCGAAATCTGCCAGCAGTGGTGCAGATGAGAAATAAATCATTTACGTAAATCATGCAACGGTTGCATAATGATCCGAAATGCCTCCTAACATGACGTTGCGCTGGCTGTCCCGTGACATGACGTCAGCGCCAGCTCATGACATGTCAGACATGTCATGGAGGCCGACACGTGCAAGAAGTGCTGGCCCTTGGCGGCTCGATTTCAGCGTTCTACCGTGGCGCGCATGCGGCCCCGGCTTCGTTGGTTTGGTCTCGCCTTCTCGGTTTCTTGCTCGCGGGGGAGAGAAAGGAAGGAAGGAAAAAGGCGGATTTGTGGAGGAAGAAAAGAAGAGGCTTGCGTTCCGCTTGCCATCGACTCGTCGTGGGTCGTATGCTTCCTTGTCAAGCAGGTTTGCTTTGCTGTGCTGAGTTATCCATAGCGGCCGGATATCGATTAGTACCCGATTGAGAGAGCTCTCGAGAGTTCGCTAAGGCTGTGTGTTACTGCCAGTAACGACGGTCGGATCTCCTACTAGGTTACCAGGTTCGTCGCAAGCTCGTCGATTGACTTCGTAGCTTGTTCGTAGCCTGACACGTCAGCAGCGCTACAACCGCCCAGCTCATCCGCGCAACGCAGAAGCATGGCCGCGGAAGTAGGGCGCGCGGGAGGCGCAACCGGCGGAGGCAGGGGGGAAGCAGAGCAGCAGCGCGCGCTGATTCACGTGGCAGCGCCCCCCGCGAGTCTCAAGGAGAAGATCGAGGAGTGGTGGGAGCAGATCGGACGCGAGCAGCACCAGGCGCGGCGGGAGGGCAAGTGGGGGGGAGGGGAGCGCGCGGAAGGGGTACTGGCGGAAGGGGGAAGGGAGGAAGGGGGAAGGGCGGAAAGCGCGGAGGGGGAGGCGGAGAGGGGGAGGGCGCGGAGGGTGACTGCAGATGATGTGACTGAAAAGAAGCTGGTTGCTGTGAGCCAAGTGCTGGCGCTGCTGCCGATCTCGCTCTTCCCTAAAGTCACAACTGGTGAGACCCGTTTCTCAACCGAATCAGATCCCTCTGTACCGCCTGACTTCATCACAACAGGAAGCCACTCACCTCTGGTGCATTCCACTTTAGGCCTGTCTTTGGCTCGTCCCCCCTTCCTCCCCCACGCCTCCCCCCCCTTCCCCTCCCCCCCCCTTCCCCCTTTCCCCCATCCCTCCCCGTTCTGTCAGTGCCCGGGGTGACGGCCAACACCACACTGTACGACGCCATCAGGCTGCTGTCCCGCCACAACCTCACCACCGTCCTCCTGCTGTTCACTTCCCCTACTCGTGCTCTTTCCGACCCCCCCTCCCCCAGTCCACGAGGTCACAGGTCACAGCTAATACGACCCTGTACGACACCACCAAGCTGCTGTTCCCGCCACAACTTCACTATTGTCCCGCTGCTGACTGCCCTCTTGTTGTGCTCTTTCTCCACCCTAAACCCGAAACCCTAAACTCAAAATTTACGTCGAATCAAAATTCACGTCGACTCAAAATTCGCCTCTGTCTCCCCCCCTCCTTCCCCCAGTGCACGAGTTGACGCCAACACGACGCTGTACGACGCCATCAAGCTGCTGTCCCGCCACAACCTCTCCACCGTCCTCATGTTGACTGCCCTCTGCGCGTGCTGTTTACTCTCCCCCCCCCCGCTTTCTGCACTGCACTTACCTCTGCCCTTTCCTCTCCCCTGTGCCCCACAGTGCACGAGGTGACGGCCAACACAACCCTGTTCGACGCCATCAAGCTGCTGTCCCGCCACAACCTCACGACCGTCCCTGTCAAAAGCATTGCTGCCGAGGCCGCTGGCAGGGGCAGGGGGAGGGGCGGCGCAGCTGACGTGGAAATGACTGAGTCGGAGCAGGCAGAGGAATTAGGAGAGGAAGGAGGGGGGGAAGGAGGAGAGGGAGGAGGAGAGGGAGTAGAACCAACAGGGGTGGTGCAGGAGCCTGGGGAGGAGGTAGGAGGGGAGATGGAGGAAGCGGAAGAGGAGGAGGAGGAGGAGTGGGAGCCGCAGTATCTGGGGATGATGGATCTGGCAGGGGCTGTCATCCTCTGGGTCTTCGCCAATGTGAGTGATCATCTTACCTCACCCTTATTCATGCGAGTACCTGCTGCTGCTGCTGCTGCTGCTGTTCTGGTTCTTTGCCCCGTTCACCTTTGTTTCCCACTGTAAATGTTCCCCCCTCCCCTCCTCCCTCCTCCCCCGCCCCTTCCTTGCATTCCCCTTTCCCCTCCAGCTCGAAGCATCGTCTATCGGGTTCGCCACAGCATCCACCGTCGCCGCTTCGCTCGTCGGCTCCTTCGTCGCAGCAGCCGGGGCAGCCGCCCTCGAAGCCTCGGCCGGACCCGCAGCAGCCGCGCCAGCCGCCGGAGCTGTAGGCATGGCAGCACTAGGCGGGCACGCAGCAACCGGGGAAGGCGCACCCGGCGAGTCAGCAGCAGCCATGGCTTCCTCCCCTCGCACCGGCTGCTATTTCTTTGAAGAGCTTCTCAAGAACGAAGCCTTCCATGCCACTCGTGTCGCCGATCTAGCTGGGTCGTTCCGGTGGTCGCCCTTTGTGTACCTCAAGCCGTCAGACACGCTGCTGACGCTCTTCCTGCTCATGTCCAAGTACGCCATCCGCTCCGTGCCTGTGCTCCCCCCGGGTGTTGGGTCGTCGATTTCGACGGTGATAACGCAGTCGGCAGCGGTGGGATTTCTGTGCGAGTGCGACGGCATGCCGTGGTTCAACTCCATCGCGGACTGCACGCTGGCGCAGCTCGGCTTGCCCCTCATGCAGCCTGAAGAGTTGGTCAAGGTAACACGCATGGGGAGTGTAACTTGTGGTGGGGTTCCTCTGCGAGTGTGACGGCATGCTGTGGGTCAACTCCATTGCTGGCTGCACTCTTGCTGCTCTCGGCCTTCCCCTCATGCAGCCAGAAGAGCTGGTCAAGGTAATGAGCGGTGAAGGTATCATCCTGTTGGCTTCCTGTGTGAGTGTGACGGCATGCCGTGGTTCAATTCGATCACCGACTGCACGCTGGCTCATGACTGTTTGATGTTGGATCATGGTGATTTTTGAGTCGACTCAACAATCATCACTGGCTCATGACTGTCTGACGTTGGATCGTGAGTGGGGTGTCATTGCCGACCAGGGCCACCCGTCGCCCCTTGCCGCTTGCCCCTGTTTGAGTGTCCATTGGGGTCCATTTCTGAGCACCGAGTCATTCTTATGAGTGTCCATTGGGGTCCATTTCTGAGCACCGAGTCATTCTTATGAGTGTCCATTGGGGTCCATTTCTGAGCACCGAGTCATTCTTATGAGTGTCCATTGGGGTCCATTTCTGAGCACCGAGTCATTCTTATGAGTGTCCATTGGGGTCCATTTCTGAGCACCGAGTCATTCTTATGAGTGTCCATTGGGGTCCATTTCTGAGCACCGAGTCATTCTTATGAGTGTCCATTGGGGTCCATTTCTGAGCACCGAGTCATTCTTATGAGTGTCCATTGGGGTCCATTTCTGAGCACCGAGTCATTCTTATGAGTGTCCATTGGGGTCCATTTCTGAGCACCGAGTCATTCTTATGAGTGTCCATTGGGGTCCATTTCTGAGCACCGAGTCATTCTTATGAGTGTCCATTGGGGTCCATTTCTGAGCACCGAGTCATTCTGATGAATGGCCCGATCCTTGCCCTCGCCCCTATTTTCCATGTGGAGGAGGATGCAGCAGAGTGCCAGCCCCCTTTCGTCTGATGATGGAGCATGCCATTGGACGGGTGCTGGTGGTTGCCACTACCACATTGTCTCTGACCTGTCTCGATTTTCCCCAAGTCCCTTCCATCTTTCCCCGCTCGCCTCGTTCAAGGTGGAGGAGGACGCAGCAGTGACAGAGCCCTTCCGCCTGATGATGGAGCATGACATCGGAGGGGTGCCCGTGGTGGCCAAGGGTAGCAATCGCATCATTGCCAACATCAGCGCGAGGGACATTCTTCACTTGGTCGGGACTCCAGAGATCTTCAAGAGCAGGCAGGAAGTGTGAGTGCGGAGAGGGGTGGATTGTTAGGGAGGTATCTGCAGGGTGTTTTTGAGAATTCTAAAAAATACCCTGAGAATTCTCAAAAACACCCTGCGGTATCTGCATGGTAAGGGCTGGTATCTTAGGGCACCAACCGCGCCAACTGCATCAACTGCATCTTCGCCAACGTCAGCCAAAAAGTGTATTGTACCAGTAATTAAGGCATTCTGTGCCTGACTCCATAGTCATCCCATAGCCCCCACCAACCGAGGTCACCCACCCTTACCGGCAGACCATGACGTCCCCATCATGGTGACTTTTGAGTCGACTCAAAAGTCACCCCCCCATCACATGCCCCTCTTTTACCCTGTCTGCCTTCCTCACTCCCGTTTCGCCCCAGGTCCTTCACGGTGCGTGATTTCATAAAGGCAGCCAACGAGCCAAGCACTTCAACCACGGAGGTGGTCTGGCGGGTCATAGCTCCCCTCATCACCTACTCCCCCTCCATTCCCCTCTGCTCTATTTCGTTCCCCTCTGCTCTATTTCGTTCCCCTCTGCTCTATTTCGTTCCCCTCTGCTCTATTTCGTTCCCCCCTGCTCTATTTCGTTCCCCTCTGCTCTATTTCGTTCCCCTCTGCTTTATTTCGTTCCCCTCTGCTCTATTTCGTTCCCCTCTGCTCTATTTCGTTCCCCTCTGCTCTATTTCATTCCTGCTTCACCCCGCTGCCTCCCCCCCGATCCCCCATCTCCCAGGTCCTTCACGGTGCGTGATTTCATCAGCGCAGCCAACGAGCCAATTACGTCTGCGACTGAAGTGATCTGGCCGGTCATGACGCCCCCCATCACCTGCTCGCCCTCCACGCCTCTCCGCAATGTGCTCCATGCGCTCAACCGCACCCACATCCACCGCATCTACGTCACCTCCCCCCTCCCCCTTGCTGCTGCTCCTGCTGCTACTGCTGAAGGTGCTGCTGGTGCTGCTGCTGGTGCTGAGGGTGCTGCGGCTGGTGCTGAGGCCACTGCTGGTGCTGCCAGTACTGGGCAACAGGAGGTGATAGGGGTGGTGACTCTGAGGGATATCATTGGGAAGTTTGCTGCCGTGCCAGCTGATGTTGCTCTGGCTGCTGGCGCTGACGTGGGCAGGGGTGGGGAGGAGTAAGGACCAAATAGGAGGTGTTTGGTGTTACTGTTGCAGTGAGAAGAGGGTTATAGGCAGCTAGAGGTGATAGATAGGGGTGGTGACTCTGCGGGAAATCTATGGTGGGCTTGCTGCTGTGCTGCTGGTTGCTTACATGGGCAGGGGTGGGAAGGAAAGAAACGAGTACGGGGGGTTCTCCTGTGGGGTGAGGCTTTTCTGCGGGATTTGATAGTGGGTTGGTTTGGAAATTCGTGAAACGATGTGGGGGTTGGCGGTGTGGGGGTTGATTAATCCTGGTGTTGGAGCGTGTTTGTCACGTACGTTTGTACATAAGAAATTGCTTTGAATCGCTCTTCTCTATTACTGACGTTGCACAAAATTAGAATGGTTTCAGAATACTGCTTTTGCACCGCTGTGCAAATGATCCAACCAAATTGCTGCCCGCCCCTTCACCGCTCTGTACCACGCTGTATTTTATGCAAACCAACATATCCACATAGCTCAGTGCACAAGCACCTAGACCTTGGGCATGTTTGCAGGCTACCCGCATAGTGCTGCTTCTGTTGTGGCTTTTGCGGCACTCACGGCTATGGTGTGTTGATGGGTGTGTTGACTCTTGATAACCGGCTTGCAGCACCACATTGGTGCGGGATGGAGAGGGGAAGAGCGACGGAGGGCTGGTCCTAGGTCGTGAGCAATGATGGAAGGATGAAAGTCATGCAGCCGTGCCTCGCAGCTGACGAACGCGTGAGTGAATCCCCCAGTTCTCGACATCGATTCCAGTTTCCTCTCGCTGGCGACTCGACGCTTTCCGGGGCAGTGGTAGTGTTCACCGCAGCCTGAAGTTCTTGCGTACCCAGAAAGGATTTTTTCGTTTTCACGACACTCTCTCGTTTTCATTTTCGTTTTTGCGCTTATTCGCGACAGCTTAGTGTCGGTGCTTGAGCTGGGAATCCGTCCTCGCAGCTAGTCTGCCCTGTGATTTGTTGCTGAAACCATCAGGCGATAGAATTGTCACAAGCCAGCCACCTTCTATCTTCTCTCGGTTTCGACTCCAGGCTAGTTACCGGCATGGAATGTCCGATCGACAATTTACCAGATGCGTTGGTCGAGCTGTTTCTCAAGAGAATCGAAGATGCTGGCGACGTTGCATGGCTCATGTGCGTCTCCAGGCGATGGTATCGGCTCGCAAGCCAGGTACTGCTGGAAAGATAGATGATGGCGGCTAGCAGGTGGCTCGTGGACCTGGCATGATAGCAAGTTAGAGGCATCGCATATGGCATGTGTGTCTCCAGGCGATGGAATTGGCTTGCAAGCCAGGTACTGCTGGGTAGACATATGATGGCGGCTAGCAGGCTGCTCATGGTTCTGGCATAGCAGTTTGGCGAGGCATCGCATAAGTGTGTGTGCGTTGCGCACTTCCTGCATGGATGGAGCAAGATTATATTTTTGAGTCGACTCAAAACCCGTATGTAATGAGTCGATTTTTGAGTCATTACACATGGGTGGCTGCCTGGATGGTGTGGTCATAAGTGATTGTTCTTAGTAAAATTTTTAAGAATTATAGTCACGACTTTCTCTTTAGGCTGCCTCTTGCATCAGGTTCCGTCGCTCGTCTTCCCCCGTGGAACTACTGTCCCTGCCGCCTGCGCCATCATCTCTCGCATGCAGGGGCCCCTCGCCCCTTCAGCTCTCCTCCTTCCCCGGCTGCAGCACCGCCGCTGCCAGCACCGCCGCTGCCAGCACCACCACTGGATCTACCAGTAAAAGGAGGAGCAGCAGCAGCAGCAGCTAGGACACTAGCAGATGAACCGTGCTTGGCATGCCTCTCATCTGCACTAGAAGGTGCCCTGCATGGATGCCCTCTTCAGCACCTTGACCTAAGCCTGAGAGGTCTTGGCAGTTCTGACGGTGATTGTCCAACTTACATGTTGGATAAAGGAGTATGCGAGGGTTCACCCTCCACCTGCCCCCCCTTGAACGTATGTGGCTGGATGGTGCGCTCTCTGCACGCCTTGGGGACTGCTACACTCCAGTGCTGTGCTCGCTGGGCATCGCTAGCCCATTGTGGAAGTTGGTATTTGACTCCTCGTGTACGCACCTGAAGGAGCTGAAGTTCAAGGATGTTTTTGGTTCCGAAGCGTCCGTCGTGAAGAGGTTTCTGAGCCAATGTCCTGCGTTGAAGTCATTGGTGGTAGATGGACCCTTGGGAGGCGATCTTTATGGGGATATGCTCATGCATGACACTCTTGAACATCTGGCGCTGATGGACATGGAGGAGGAAGGTTTTGGCGTGAATCTCGAATTTCCGAACCTCCGCAAGCTCTCCCTGGGTAGAGCCAATAGCCTGGAAGTCCACGGCTCTCCACTACTGCAGCAGCTGTATCTGGATCTCATACATAGAAATTCGAAAGTGCTCTTCCTTCCTGTTCCATGCCATCTGGAGGAGCTATTCGTGTGAAATGATGTGCGTAGTGATCTGCTGGATGATGATAGAGTGGGAGACGAGGAGCCGAGCACAGGAGTACATGGCAGGGGGGACTATGAAGAGTACAACCGCTATAAGTTTGATGAGGGCGGAATTGACGAGGGTCAGCAGCAGTTTTTGGAACTCGTGCCTGAGAGTGCTGGTTCCCTCAAGGTGCTGAAATGGACTGGTGTCCTCACCAGCCCACTTCCTTTTGCTGGGCTCTCGTAGTCTCTGATCAATTTGAGAGAGCTCTGGATACAGTCGGGTCACTGGCTTGTGCATGTTAAAGGAGCTAGGTAGATAGGGAAGCCATGGAAATGGCGTGATGGTTTAGGCTAGGAGAAAATGTCGAGAGAAAAGAGAGGTGGAAGAAGGAGATACAAGAAGGGGGGTAGTCCTTGTCGAGAGGCCCACTGGGGTTGCCCTTGAGAAGATCCTCGGGGAACGGCCACAGGTGCAGTGCAGAGCCTGGGGGGTTGTGGGTGCACTAACCCGCCCTTTTAACTCAGTGGTTAGTGACTGAGTTCTGACAGTCCCCTCTACAGTAGGATTCAATAACACCTACCAAGCCTACAATTATATATATGTATATATATATACTATAAAATATAATTTAACAGTGCACCCTTGGCTGTACCATCCATTGAGATGCTAGTGTTCTTCCCTGTTAAATTATATATTTGATATATATATAATGGTAGGCTTGGTAGGTGTTACTGGACTCTACTGTAGAGGGTACAACCCCTCTTCTTGTATCCCTCTCTCTTCTAATCTCATCCTCGTCTCTCTTGATATTCTTACTAGCCTAAAACCTTACGCCATTCCATGGCTTCCCCTTCCTAGCTAGCTACTTCGACATGGTATCAGAGCAAGTTGCTCTTCCTGAACCTGCTTAGCATGCTTCCGCCGCGCACTCCTCCTCTCCCTCTCGCGCTACCTTGGCGGCCGCGTCATGCTGCTGTGGCGGCATCGTCGTGTCGCCGGCCGCGTCGTACTGCCGCGGCCGTCTCGACGCGCTGCAGTGGCGTCGCGCTGTCGTGGCGTCGACGTCAAGCCGTGGCGTCGACGTCAAGCCGTGGCGTCGTCGTCGACGTTAAGCCGTGGCGGCGTGACGGCGCCGTCGCACTGCCGTGGCGACGTGCTGCCAGCGCGCGCACGGCACGGATGGCAGTGGCCAGCGCCCCGTCTTAGCGCACTCGCACCGGCCGCCCCACCGTCGCGGAGCCCGGCCACGCAGCCGAGTCCTGCAAGCTCCGCCGCCGCCACAGCTGGTGCCGCTGGCCAAGCCGCCGCCGCCGTCGACGCTGCCATTGGAGCCGCTGCCCTTGCTGTCGACGTCGCCGTCTCACGCGCCGAGGGGCTGACCTGTTACAATACTATAATGAATTAGCAAGAAGGAAGAACAAGGGAAATATAGGGTTTGGGTTGTACTCTCTACGAACACACACCTGTTCTAGCCTATAACTTCTACATGCAAATGTATGTATAAGTTGACAAACCCCCTAGGCTAGATAAGGGGTAGTGCTGAGCAAGAAGCACACAGCTCAGGGCGGCACTACTAGTCCAGCCTCTGAGGAAGGGGTCCGAAGACCAGTCAGCAAGAGTACAAACAAGACAGGAGCAAGCCAGGGCGGCACTACTACTCCGGCCACTGGAAGAGAAGCCACAAGGCCAATCTGAAAGATATATATAAGAGGAGTAGACAATCAAGGTCCTAGCAAGTGAGAGTCTCCAGCAAGGCTTATGTTAGGCTTTAAGACTGCCCTGTCTCCAAATTTTCTCTAGAAATACAGGGTCAAACGTAGCGCCTACCTGATGTTTCAGGTCTGTGGCAAAAGCGTCGCGAAAAATCAGGGCTGGCTGAATTTTCACTCTGCTGGCTATCCAGCCTAGCCTTGAGAGACACGAACCTGATGTGCTGGGAATCTACCTAACAACCTGATTTGTGAACCAGAGTACGTATTAGAGACTAGCGGTCAAGGCAACGAGGAGGAGGGTGTTAGAGAAAGGCAGCACTGGCGTATGATGTTGACAAGTGTATTTGTGGCTGGAAAGATTCATTCCGCTAAGCAGCAGCCTGGATTCAAGGTGAGCCAACTAATCACACAGCTTCATGTAAGCCTAAGATGTTGTAGATTGATGCTAAGTCCCCATACAGATTCGGTATACAGGGCAGGGAGATTGCGAGAGGTTTCTAAATCTAGGGAGGGGGGAATCTTGGTGAGTGGGAAAAGGGAGGACGGAGGGGGAAGGGCGGGAAACGGGAAAAGGGTGAGTGGGGGTGTGGCGGGCTCCGGGTACCCCTTGAAACTGCTCGGATGGATCAGGGTTTGGCAGAACCTCGTTGGGTTGAGGGTCCCGAAAGATCCCCCCCTGAATTCTTCAGGGCTAGGACGAAAAGGACCCTGACATTTTCAGGGTCGTCAAAAAACATCCCCATAATTTCAGTCAAGTCAGGGCAAATGCCCGGATAACATAAGCCCTGGTCTATAGGAACAAGACCAAGCTGCAAACAGTGCCGCTTATTATCTCTAGGCGCAAGCGCCTTAGTAAAGCTATCTGTTGTGTTGGCACCAGAGGCCAAGTGTACTACGCGAGCCTGGCGACACTGCTATAGCTCGCGCAGGAGGAAGTAGCGCAGCTGGATGTGCTTTGCTCTGCCCTCAAGTCGAGGCTCCTGACACAGGAGGATCATGGCTCTGTTCTCAGCCTACAGAACCGGGACAGAGCTAGGCCGCTCACCTAAGTCGGTGAGCAAGAAGGTCAGCTGGCGGAGCTCCTATGCCGCCATGGCACCGGCGTAGATCTCAGCCTTACAGCTAGATTGGGCAATAGACGAGGAGCGAGTGGACCTCCACGAGATGGCACTTGAACCAAGGCTATAGCAGTAGCCCTGGGAGGACCTGAGGGTCTCAGCATCGTCTGCCCAAGAAGCGTCTGTGTGCCCAGTAAGGACCACTGACTTGCGTCCTCCTAGCACTAACCCCATGCCCGATGTACTTGCTAGATAACGCAAAACCCTCTTAGCGGCCGACCAGTGTTGCGGTCGATGTCTGCTTGTGGCCACAAAGCGAGCCAAGATGCTGAGAGGTTATGCGAGATCTGGACAAGTGCAAGTCATCAGGTACATGAGGCAACCTACCAGCTTTGCGTAAGGACCACTTGGCTCTACTGACTCCTCAAAAACTGGAGCAGAGAGCCTGTGATCTACTGGCAGCAAGGTGCAAAATAACGACGTTTTTTTTTTTTTTTTTTTTTTTTTTTTAACCGTTTAAAACGGGATTGTATTAAACGGTCGTTTGCTATGATTAAAACGGCTGAAAATGGTGTTTTCCGACTGGTACAAAAAAACGGTCGTTTTATACGGTAATTTTTTTCGTACCGTCATGTAAACCGGTGGTGCCCTTTATAACGAACCATGCGAACAGGTGGAGTGTGTCAGAATCGACTGCCGAGTCGGACGTTGGGGTTCTTGCCGAGCCGCATTCCGACACTTTCTCGAGCCGCGAATTTACATGCATTTAGCGATGCAAAACGGATTGGAAACCCGTTTCGCAACAGTCCTTAGCTTTTTTGCGCCATGCTGACACTGGCGACCGCGCATAGTGCCGCGAATTCGCGCAATTTGCGTTTGAAGGCTCAACCAATCAACGCATCCCTTTCTCCATCCGTCTCAACGAATTCAGGGTTCAGCATACAGCAAAGTACAGGTACAAGTACGGAGCACAATCAACAAGGTAAGCATGCTTCAACCCTATCCCGTCAGCAGAACTAGTGCTTCTTAGTCCAAGCACTCGCCCTTACAGAACGCTTTAGTGTGCGCATTTTCGTCATGCCTCGCCCGACGTCCTCCGTTTGGGAGCACGTCAAGAAGGTGACGAGCCCGAACGGCGTAGTTACTAGTGCCGTTTGCCTCCATTGCAACCAACCTGTCACGCCCAACGCGACTAGAATCGAGCATCATATTTACGGCACGCCTTCCACCAAGCTAAAGAATGTCGCACCGAGTGCTTCGGAATTCGAGAAGCAGCTGCACGCGGGCAGCGAAGAAACGCGTTCTTCCACCGCCGAAGACTCCATCCTTGGATCGACGTCCGGGGAGGTATCACAGCCGGCCCCGGTCCGGCATTCGCGGCAGCAGGACATTCGCGAAATGACTGACATTGCAATGCGTCATCACCTTGACCGCCTTTGGGCGACCGCCATCGCCAAGAATGACTTGGTGTTTAGGGTGTCACAGTCGCCAGCAATGCAGGCCTTTGTTAATGCGGCGACGGTCTTCGGGAAGCAGTATACCTTGCCATCCGCATACAAGGTTTCTGGTCCCTTGCTCGCCCAGCTCAAGGTCGACTCCGAGGAGCTCGTGCAGCCCTTAAGAGACACGTGGCGCACCAGCGGCTGTTCGCTCTCGGTCGACGGATGGTCCTGCATCAAGAGCCGTGGCATGGTCTGCGTCATTGCCCAAAATGACACCGCGCCCGTCGTCGTCGACATCGTCGACTCAAAGACCGCGAAGAAGACCGGCCCGTATCTGGCGGGTCTTATCCGCCGCGCCATCTGCAAGGTTGGCGACCGTCTCGTCGTCCAAGTGGTTTTGGACAACGCGTCCAACAACAAGCGGGCGGCGCAGCTGTTGGCGGACGAGTACCCCTAGGTGTTCTTCACGAACTGCGCCGCGCATGTGCTAGACCTCATGCTCCACGACCTTGGAGCGATCCCGGTCGTGCGCCGGGTCCTACAACAAGTGCATCGTGTGGTCATGATGGTCAAGGGGAGCGCGTCAGCCGTGGTTCTCTTCCGTGAAGTGTTCTCGCAGCTAGAGTTGGCTCGCCCGGGTGCCACACGGTTCAGGACGCAGGTGATCATGATCACCCGCTTCCTCGAAGTCAAGAGGCAACTGCAGGAGATGGTTATCTCAGAGGAGTGGGAGGAGGTTGCGGTTGCAAGGACGGATGAGGGGAAGGTGGTGCGCGCTCTCCTTTTGGAGGACGCGTTTTGGGAATCCGTTGCCACGGTCCTGAAGCTCATAACGCCGGTCTACGGAGTCCTAAGGGCCGTGGATAAGCGCGCCACCATCATGGGCCAGATCTATGGCCTCATGCTGGAGGCGACCGTAAAGACAATCGAGGCTGCTGAGGCAGCAGGTAAACACTCACCGTGCTATCGTCCACGTTTCCAGCCTTATGCACTGTGCACCGTGCCTTACTTTCTACGACCCTAGCATGCCGAGCCCCCACTCACCGTCATTCTGTCCCCCACATGCCCCGTGCAGCCAACTTTTTTGTCAAGCGGACGCCGCTACTTGACGCCAAGGATAAGGCCGGCTTCCTGGCGGTTGTAAAGAAGATCATCGCGAGGCGTTGGGATGGGCAGCTTCACAACCCACTCCACGCCTTCGGATGGCTCGTCAGCCCGCGCAACCAGTTCGTGGGCGAGGTGCGTAACGACTCTGAGATCAGGAGCGGTGCGGATGCTGTCATTCAAGCCAGGGGCAGTGACGTGCATCGACGCACGATGATTGCCGCCCAGTTGGCGTCCTTCCACAAGGGCGAAGGCCGCCTTGGGGCCTTGGGGCCGTGGATGCCCGATGGGCAGCCACGACCCTTGTGGAGTGCGGTCGGTTGAGCGACGTGGAGTGGTGGTGGATGTACGGAGGGGAGGTCGGTGCTCTCCAGGAGCTGGCTGTTATGGTGCTGTCACAGTCAGCGACTTCGTCCGAAGTGGAGCGCTACTGGTCCGCGCTGGCTCGTGTCCAGCGCCGCGACCGTAACCGCCTCAATGCCACGACCATGACTGACGTGACATTCGTCGCGTTCAGCAGGCGCGCGTGCGCAGCTTTCGATGAGAAAGTGGCGGCTCGCACGAAGCTGTATAGCGATCTAAGCGATGGCAGCCTGAAGGAGGGCTGCGCCATCTCTCCGCCCATGGCTGAGAAACCCGAGGCAGACAAAGAGGGAGGGGATGCGGACGAGGGGCAGTGTACCGTCAATTGGGAGTCGTTTGGTAGCATCGGCGCGAAAGGGAAGAAGACGACCCTCAAAGGCCCAAGAGAAGAAGAGGGCGAAGAAGGCCAGCGGGTCCCGAAAGGGCAAGGAAAAGGTAATGGAGGAGGAGGAGGAGGAGGCGGAGGCGGAGTGTGACAGCGATGGCGGTGGACCTGACGACGGGGCTGTCAAGACGCCTGGGGGGGGGGACCCATGGGACTGCAGCGACTAAGATAGCGGGGAGGAGGAGGAGGATGATGTCGAGGCGGAGGAGGAGGAGGAAGAGGAGGAGGAGGAGGAGGAGGAGGAGGAGGAGGAGGAGGAGGAGGAGGAGGAGGAGGAGGAGGAGGAGGAGGAGGAGGAGGAGGAGGAGGAGGAGGAGGAGGAGGAGGAGGAGGAGGAGGAGGAGGAGGAGGACGACGACGACGACGACGACGACGAAGAGGACGAGGAGGAGTAGGACGAGGCGGAGGAGGAGGAGGAGGAGTAGGACGAGGCGGAGGGCTAGGAGGAGGACTAGGAGGGGAAGGAGGAGGAGAGCACGCCGTTGAGCGCGACCAGGAGGAGGATTATGATAGCTAGGAGGGGGGCGATAATGTCTTAGATGCGTGTAGGAAGTCACTGCCACCAGGCCCTTAGTTTCCCCGCGTTTTTTAATGGAGTAAAAAAAAAAAAAAAAAAAAATCTAACAAAAAAACGGCAGAATTTACACAAATCTGCCGTATAAAACCAGCGTATACAACGGACCGTTTAATACGGAAACCGTTTTTTTGCACCTTGACTGGTAGAGGTGTGGGCTGTGCGGAGGAGAACTGAAGACCGAACCTCTTAAGGACCTGGCGCACCAAGTGTGACTGTGTGAGAGTGATGGTGTGCGCTGCTCTGTCCCGGGAGATCAGCAGGCCAAGGTAGCGGCGAAGCTCTCCTAGGTCAGTGCAGGTGTGTCTCCTCAGCAGCTCGGCCTTCACAGCGGCCACTGCGTCTCTGTCTGTAGTAGCAATGACCAGGTTGTTTACGTAGACAAGGATGTAGAACGGATTCTGGCCAGCACGAACAAAGAGCGAGGGGTTTGCAGAGGACAAAAAGAACTGCAGGCCAGCTATCGTGGCACGGAGCGTGTCGTGCCACTCACGGGGCGCTTGTCGCAGGCCGTAGACCAAGCGCTAGAGGAGCGACTGGGTCCCAAGAGGGAAGGTACCGGTGAAGCTCTGCGGTCGGTGTAGGTAAACCTGCTCGTGTAGACTGCCCTGGAGAAATGCTGTGGAGAAGTCGAGGGCGTAACTCGTATTCACGCTGTGCTGCTATGTGTAGCAGCGCACGAAGAGTAGTCATCTTCGGGGTCAGGGCGAAGGTCTGAAAGGATGCGCTGACTGAAGCCTCTAGCCACGTAGCGCGCCTTGAACACAGGCGGCTCTCCAGGAAGAGCCATAGGCCATCGACTACGTTCACCCCAGGTGGGGAAACTGCGTCGACGTAGGTGCCGGTGGATCTCCAAGATGCCATCACCTGCTCCATGGCAGCTATCCACTGAGAGGCCCAGTGTCCCGAGGTCGCCTCAGCGTAAGTGCGAGGGGTTAGGATGTCAACGGCATCTGGGTCACACTCAAGGACTGGCAGCATGGAACAGAGATGGGGAGCAGCCTCAGACAGGAAAGCAAGCTCGTACTGTCTGTCCTCTAGAACGTCACTGCCAAGGGCAGACGCACCCCCAACGGACGGAGGACAGACAGGGTCAGAGACTAGAGCGGTGGTGTAGTCAAGGCGGCGGGTAGAGGCGAAGTCAACGACGGCAGCGACAAGAGCGGAAAGACTGGAGAGAGGGACAGACTGGTCGGTAACGAGGAAGGCAAGGACCCGAGGAACAAGAGGACGAGCGGCACGAAGGTAGTCAGATAGGCGGGGAGGCGCGACAGCGAGCGACGATGGAGGAGGAGACGGGAGGAGGGGAGGACGAGACGCGTGGGAACGAAGCAACATAGGGTGAGAACGCAGATCAGGAGAGGCATGACAAGCACGAGCGGGACGGCGAGACCATGCGTGAGAGGGAGGCGTCAGGTCAGGGGACAGAGGAGGAGACACAATAAGGGAACGAGGGGGAAGACGAGCCGAAGTTGAGTCCGGCGGCGGAAACACAGGGCCGTAGATAGGAAGAGGAGGAGGCGGGACGGGAGGCGCAGGCGAGCGGTCAGGGGAGGGAAGGCCGAGAAGGCGAAGGGCAGGCACCGGCGGCGATTGCTGCTGCTGCTGCTAGACGCCGACACCTGAACCGCCAGCTTCCCCACGGCTACCTCTGAAACACTCCTCTCCAGCACCCCCTGAGCGGGTGATGTCACAGGATCGAATGACTCGAGGAAAGATTGCACTATCGATCAGTACAAGGCGCTTTTATACTTCCAAAGTACATCAGGTAACCAGGTTTATCCTATCCAAAGGGAATAGACCCTTCTAGAAGATAGAATCACCCTGCGTATAGCCGCGCGAGGCTATTGGCTTTAAGGGATTACGGCAGGATTACGCTAGATAGCGCACTAGTACATCCCAAGCCTGGTCGGTGATATAATTATAATAGCAGGATAAACCAAAGGTTAATGGAAAATGGAGAATACGAAACCAAATGAGGAGAGATAAAAAGAGGAATGAAAATAGTAAGGAAGTAGGAAAAGGGACAAGTGGTGTAACGGGGTCGTACTCTCACAGGGCACCCCCAGAGCGAAAACTCTTGCCAGCACCGGTGCCACCTCCAGGCCCGCCGGGACAAGCCACGACAGGAAACCCAGGACTAGCACCCTCCTCAATGCCAGCACCCCCAGAGTCCACAAACGGCTGCTGCTGCTGCTGCGGTGGTGGCGGCGGCTGCTACGGCTGCGGCTGCGGCGACGGCTGTGGCTGCGGCTGCTGCTACGGTGGCGACTGCTGCGATGGCGGAGGAGGAGACACCCGAGGGGAGGCTGGCGGCGAGAGCGGTGCCGCGGGGCCACCAGAGTCAACCGACTCCTCGACCGGGACAAGCGACGGGAGGGGAGTGACGTGAGACACACCAGACGGAGCAGGACGGGGAGGGAGGGGAGCAGGGGCTACCAGGGGGGGAGGAACCAGAAACAAGGGTGGGGAAAGCGGTGGTAAAAGGAGACAGACTCGTCAAAAGTGGCGTCACGGGAGTGAAAGATGCGGTGAGACGGCGGGTGGTAGAAGTGCCAGTCGGACGAGTCAAAGGGGAAACTTAGGAAGACACATGGGGCAGTGCGGGCAGTGAGCTTGTCCATGCCAGAGGCACGAAGGTCAGCAAGACAGCCCCAAACGTGGAACGCGGATGCGTCACCAGTGAGCCCAGTCCAAAGAAGGGTCGGCGAAACCTGCGGCCGCTGGGAGCACGGCCACAAGTTAAGCTGGTGAGCAGTGTAGCGAACGACGAACAGCCACAGAAAATGGGGTGCACCGGCATGGATCATGGAGGTATGAGCCACCTCCATGGCCACGCCGATGTGTCGCTCAGCAACCCCATTCTGCTACGGGGAGTCCGGTAGAGTGTACAATTGGGTGATGCCCTCCACTCGAGAAAACTGACCAAGCCGACCAGAGACGAACTCGTCGCCATGGTCGGAGTGGATTCACAGCACAGGGAGACCGTGGTGGAGGCGTGCAGCTATGACCCACAAGAGAAGAACATCAGGCACATTGGCCTTCCGCTCTTGGGAAAACACCGTGGTGTAGCGCGTGAAGTCGTCGACGAGCACTAGAAAGTAGCGCTCGCGACGCGGTCCAGGGATGGGGGCTGGGCCCCAGACGTCCAGGTGCAGGGCCTGGTGGGGTGCAGAGGCAGGGCGAAGCAAGGAGGAGTGAGGAGCACAGCACAGCCGGCCCTCGACGCAAGCGAGGGAGGGAGGGAAGGAAGCGACGTAGGAAGACCGAGGACTAGACCGTGCTGAGACATGTGACGCAGACGCGGGAGTGTAGGGTGACCTAGGTGGTGGTGCCACAGAAGCGACGGGTGATTGAGCGATTGACACGTGCACGCCGAAGCGACCTGTGAAACGCAGGACCTAGGGAGGACGCCCCGACCGGGGGGGAAGTAGTGTCCAGCGTAAATAGGCCAGACACCAGGTCCCGGGGGAACGGCGCAAGAGGGGCACCTGAGGCGACCTCGGTACAGACAGCTTACCGCTCGTGACCAGGGAACGTAGTGGTGACGTCGAGGTCCTGAAGACAGCCGACACCAACTAAGTTCCTGGAGAACGAGGGGATGTGCAGGCCTGTAAGGGAACCCGAGGGGGCTGCTGGACAGGGAATGGTAGTGGAGCTGCGAGCAACGACAGGAGTAGAAGAGGGGTCAGCAAGGGTGACAGAGGAGGAGGAGCGAGCGACGTGAGAGTGGCGTGCTCGCGAAAGAAGCAGGCACATGTACTCGAGTCGAGCGTGATGGATAGAGAGGCAGTAGTCGGCGACGAAGGAGGAGCAAGGGTAGAGCCTAGGCTAGACAAAGCAAACGGTCCTACGCCTGACGCAGCAGGGGAGTTTGTACTACACACAGGTGCTACGCCTAAGCTAGAGAACAAAGGGTAATTAGATCCGGACACACTAGAAGCGTCAGCATACAGAGAAAGCAGGGTAGAACTAATCTGATCCATGTCTAAGTCAAACACGAACACACCGTGACGGAGCAGACTGGGCTAGTCAGGGAGGTCTGGGGCTGGGTCGAAGCGGCGACGGAAGAGGCGGCGGAAGCAGAGGGCAGTCGAGTGCGGGCGGCGGCATACAGTGCCACAAAGGAGCCCGGTCTACAGTTGGCACTGGTAGCCCACTGCACCGAAGCCGACAGTAGACGCCGAGCTGCAGGGGCCGCCACCGCAGCCACCACCTCCTGGGGCTCCTGGCCACCCCGGTGGGAGGCGGGCCAATGACTGCTGCTACTGCGGCTGCTGCTGCTGCTGCGTCTGCTGCTGCTCCTGGACACCAGCCCCAACCTCCTCGTCCGAACCACTATCCCCGCCACCACCACGACCACCACCAGCGCCACCACCACGCCCTCCCTTGGGGCTGTGGCGGTCCCTACGCTGTCGCTGCTCAGGGAAGGCCGCAGCAGCTGTCTCAGTGGCTGGGTATGCCGTAGCAACCGCGGCGAAAACGTCAGCATACGTGCAATGGGAGGGAGCATAGCCCTAAAAGATAGGGACAACCGCAACACCGCTCGACTGAGCGATAGTGCGATGGCGAGTCTCTATCTCAAACAGGGCAGTGACAAAGGCAGTCAAGGTGAGGTCGCCTGGGTGCTGGGTAAGGAAGTGGTCTTGGGCAGTGGCTAAGCGGTCAGGCAAGCGCATGGCAATAAGGTAGTGTGTAGTACATAACGGGGGGGGGGGAAGGCAGTGAGGTGGGCGGCAGAGCTAGCAGCGCGGTAGCTAGTCTCGAGGACACGTAGGTGAGAGGCGAGATCGGCGACAGTGGGGAAAGGAGAGAGATGCCGGTGAAGGTCGACAAGCCAAGCGGCGAAGTCGATCGCATGCCCCACCGCGTCCAGGCATAGCATGGCGTCTGCCATCACGCAATCTCCACGGCACCGGGACACAGCGGCACAGGGA